GTTCAACTCTTTGATACTAAAGTATCTGAACTTCTATGTTATGTATAAATAATAGTTTATAAGATGTTTGTGTGTTACATTATATGATGATATAAAATCATGAGATGAAATTAGTATTGTACATGTTTTAATAAGTAATGTTTTAATGTAAAACACTTACTGGTATCTCATAGATCATTTTAAGTTCTCCCGAGTATTTTGTAGCTTTTTGTAGTTGAACCAATCACCTTGATACATATGGATGATTCTCATGCAATAAAATGAATGGCATTTGGTCAGAAAAATGTATATGGAACTCACAGTTGAATATTTAGTTTAAATCACCTTAAAAAACAACATCCAACCTGTCTTTTAAGTCAAGTTTAAGATTCATAAACATGTGTGTTGTATTGTTACTTTAGTTAAATATAATATCCATCAGAATCTAGGTATTTCCTATATATTATTTAAGTAAGCATAAATTTAGGCTTAATCTTTACCTTTTGATGTTTCTGACCACTTTTGCTGCCATTGTGCTTTGCACTTGATTGATCTACCTTCGGATCCCTCCACTAGGTTATCTTATATGTCATCTATAAACAATAGTTTACAAAATGTTGGAAGAAACATGATATGAGTATATAAACTTATAATAAATTGATTATTATATCTAATGTGTTATTGTTCTAGCAAATGTATTACCATGAGTGTTTGGGAATTTGATGTTAATTTCATCCGAACAGAGTAATCTGCTGCATATTGTAATTTAGAACTTATAAACTTACATATAACAGAATGCTGCATATTGTAATTTAGAACTGGATAAACTAATAAACTTACATATAACAGAATGCTAATTTGATGTTCTCCGGAGTAATCTGCTGCATATTGTAATTTAACCAATGTCCTTGATGTACACTTGATACATATAGATGATTCTCATGCATATAAAAAAAATGGTCAGAATTAAAGGTTGAACTTACAGTTGAACTTAGAACATGTATTACAAACAAATTCGAGTTTAAGATAACTCTTTGTGATTATATTTACACATTTCAAAGATATCAACCATTCATGCAATTAGCTTTTTCAAAACAGTAGTTCATGCATGTGTTAATCAAAACTACTCAGTTCATAGTGAAATGTGACGACAAAATAATATGTGCTCTCCAGTCAGACAGACAGAACAAAAATTTCAACGGTAAAAAACTTAAATTGTGTTGTTTAATATACACAAATTAACTACAGAACAAACATATAAAAAATTCTAACAAGTATACATATGCTGTGAACATAAATATATTCAGATCCTATCACAAAAACCAAACACAAATATAATTTTTTTCTTAATCTACACAACGAACATAGGAAACATAGGAAAATACATAAAAAACATTATATATCTACCGTCAACATACAATTATCCAGCGAAAACAATACATCCAAAAATAAATCTTCAAATCAACAAAAATACAAGATTAGTCATACATCAGTTATCGATTTTCACATAAATATTTAGCAGATAACGTTAAATTGGCAGGAAAACATATAAATCTATGTGTTTTATTAATAGTTAATTAATAATTTTGTTTAAAAAAAAACAAAGGGTTACCGTCGTTACCTTTCTCACATGCGCTCAAATGAATCTTCACTTTCCATGTAATTGTTAGTCCAATCGGAAGTAAGAATCGAGAATGATTTCAATTTTCACTTTTTTTTTGTAAAATCAACAAAAAAATTTGTGAAAAAGGAAATCAAAGAGCTCGATCTATACAGAATTAGAAGGCTCAGTGAACTAAGAGTCCAAGTATACTGAACAAATCGAAACATTTTTGTTAAGGTAAGAGATGATTCAGACAACAAAAACGAGAGAGAAATACAAGCGGCGGAGAATTCGAATGAGGAAGAAATGAAACCCTATCGGTTTCAGTACACTATTTATACCACTTTTAGAATTGATATCGACCGTTCGATTCTTTCTGTGCGAATAAAGGCCGTCCGATTCGAGCCATATAAAAGAAATAAAAAAAAAAACCTAACAAATAATGGAAGTTGGGCTGAAAAATATGAATGCTTGGCCCAGCTGTATAATTAAAGTTTGGGTCAGATTTTTTACAACAATCGGCCCGATAATAATAGAATCAAATTGGTTTTTATCTATTAAGCCTAATGAATGTAATTATTTAGCCCATTAGATTAAGTTTCCAAATTATTATATATTTAGGCCACACTTAGAAAATATATATTTATTTTATTTTATATATTCTCAATACATGTACTAATAATAATTTTCAATTGTACAAGATTTTGTGTATCTATTTTATCTTATTTGTGTAATAATATACTTTAAGCCTTTTATTATGAATTATTAATTATTAAATTTTTTTATGTTAATAGATTATCTATATTATTAATAGATTATTTTCTACAGGATCTTGGAGATCATCTCTTATCAGTGGAGCATCATTTATTCCTCAAGAAAACAACAATCGTTTGGGCAGTATTTCATATCAATATCGAAGTGTGTTGCATACTACTCAAAGTGTACCATTGTCAGACATCACCAATGGTAAACATTATTGAAAATTAAGTTATCATTAATGTTTATTTATTTATTTACAAGCATATATTTTATTAACAATTTTTTCTTATGTAGTATTTGAAACAGACCCTACATTGACTTTAATAAATACGACATCAAAAATTATTGGATCAGGTGATACATTTATATTTTGTCCAATTACATTACAAATGTTGTGCTATATTAATATTGTATTTAGTTATACAATAATATCTATTATCTATATCTTACCATGTGTGATCTGTTTATTTGTGATCATAATTGCTCGGGTAAAATTTAGGACTGTCACCCTTCATTGATCTGACAAATGACGATGTGAACGACAATTTGCTTATTAGTCCTGATAATATATTCAAGCAACCACAAGGTAATAAAAAATATCCATTGGGATTTTATATTTAGTTTCATGTATTTTTTTAACAAATTCCAACTATGGATTTTCAAATTTTGAAATACTGCTCTTTTTTAACTATTATGTTTCAATTATTGTAGGTATTGATTCTCATTATGAGATGTTGAATGACCGTACTGCCGATCAAGCACCACCTACAACTCTTAAAAGAAAACGTGGTCGGCCTAAAAAGATTATAGGAAATACGTCCACACAAATTGGTATGTTGTTAATTAAATACTAATTGTATCACTTATTGCATGTGATTTCAATATAAATTGTTTAAGTAAATATATTCTTAATTGTTTACGTTTTTTAGAACGTGAAAAAATAACTTTTACTCCAACTCTACACCCAAATATATCGAGTGAGATATTGGATCACACGGTTGACGATCAAGTACCACTTACGTCTGTTAAAAGAAAGCGTGGACGACCAAAAAAGATTCTAGGAAGTACGTCCACACAAACTGGTATGTTGTGATTTAAATACTAAATTTATCACTTATTGCATGTGATTTCAATATAATTTTTTATATTGTAAATATT